TGTGTTATTATTACTATTATTGCATTTTAACATGTGTAATAAGATGCTTTAGGACGTCAATCATTAAAATAGTCCATAAGTTAATTGAATAGGCCGTAGTAGATAAGTGAATGTTAAGAAATTGAAAAAAATATCAGAAAGTTTATTTTTCTCGAAGGGATATCTAAAAAAATATTATGGCAATTGTTCGGCAGATGTGTTTTAAAATATCTATGTTTTATCAGCTATCTAACGAGGTATAACAATCTAGGATTTGTATTACATTTCGTAGAAAAAAAGTAGTTGGGACGCTCCAGTAGCAGTTCCCACGCCTATTCTCCTTCAAGTTTAGACGGGGGTGGGTGCGAATGAAAGAAAACATATTATAATAACCGGTTAGGGCTGGAAATCCAACACGGGATGTTGTTTTGGTTGTCAGTCTGCTTTTGTGCTTCGTACATAGTAGATGTGATATCGTTTTGCTATTTTCCTCGACTTGGCTACGATTCTGGACTATTTCTTCTGATTTGTGAATACTGTGCTTGTTCACTGGACTCTGATTTGTACTTGTGATACGGAAGTGTTGAAGATGACGTCCTACACACCTGAGGAATATGCTGATATGCTTATTTGTTACGGATACTGCGATTGTGTATCTGCGCAAGCTCGCAACGAATACAGAACTCGCTTCCCCGGTCGTCGAGTGCCGGATGTGGCCGTTTTTAACAGAGTTTATCTAAGACTTCGAGAAACTGGCTCTGTTTTGAGACGAAATACAGACCTGGGAAGACCACGAATTTATGACAACGAAGAACTGCAGGACAATGAGATAGTGCAACGCTTTCGAGCGGATCCGACCATTTCCACTAATCGTGTTGCCCGTGATCTGGGACTTTCGCAATGGAGAGTGTGGTTTACAGTGCATACTGCTGGCCTATACCCGTACCATTACACGCCGGTACACACTATTGAAGAAGGAGACCCCGCGAGAAGGTTGGACTTCAGCAGATTTATGCTAAAGGCTGACGTAGAAGACCCAGATTTTCTAAGAAATATCTTATGGACAGATGAATCCAAATTTGATAACGATGGCATAACTAACTATCACAACGCCCATTACTGGGCCCCAAAAGTACTAAGGAATCCCAATAAGAAAAGAGTGGCGAGGTCCCAACGAAGATTCAGCGTGAATGTGTGGATGGGCATTATCTCCAACCATTTGATTGGACCTTACTTTCTCCCGGACAATCTAAATGGGGAAAATTACGAAAACTTCTTGAGAGGAGACTTCAGAGATTTGCTGGATGATCTGCCACTCAACTTGAGAAGGGACATGTGGTTCCAACATGATGGCTGCCCTGCCCATTTCAGGAGAAGTGTCAGAGACTGGCTGGACACAAATTATCCAAACAAATGGATAGGACGAGGTGGGCCGTTGCCATGGCCAGCAAGAAGTCCGGACCTAACCCCCATGGATTTTCATGTGTGGGGGTGCATGAAAAGTCTTGTCTACAGCGAGCCAAATCCAGTTTCGTCTGTGGAAGAATTAAGAGAAAGGATTGTCGATGCAGCAAATCAACTAAGGACAACGTTGACCACTGCAGTTGTAAAGACTGGTCTCCGTAGAAGGATGCGACAATGTATTAGAAACAGAGGCAGCCATGTTGAACATGAACTGTAGAGTAAGAAAAAGTTGTGTGAAAACCTGATTTAATAAATGATATTTCATGCTTACCTATTGTTTTATTTTACTTTTTAGGGCTAAGTATCAATTTTCTTCTCCACTGTCGCCTATGAAACTAAGTTTTTTCAATGCATTTAAATAAAATCCTAGATTGTTATACCTCGTTAGATAGCTGATAAAACATAGATATTTTAAAACACATCTGCCGAACAATTGCCATAATATTTTTTTTAGATATCCCTTAGAGAAAAATAAACTTTCTGATATTTTTTTCAATTTCTTAACATTCACTTATCTACTACAGCCTATTCAATTAACTTATGGACTATTTTAATGATTGACGTCCTAAAGCATCTTATTACACATGTTAAAATGCAATAATAGTAATAATAACACACACAAAATAAAAATAAATACATTTAGTAGCCTAAAAATCGGCAATTTTCAATAAAAACATTAAAAGTTGAATATCTCGAAAAGGGTTAAGTTTAGGGTAGGGTGTTTCATAATGAAATAAGTCAGAAATGATGGGTACTACACGCCCTTAACGGATCTAGCACGACTTTTCCTGTAACCCTGTATATAACTTGAGACGTGGTCATTGTCGTCTAGACCAGTTAGGTGAAAAATTAAAGCTTCCGCCTTTTGTTGGGTACTTCGACAAGAATTAAGCAAAGAGGACTCTTTATACTTTTTTAATTCTCTCTAGCTTTCAATGGACTTTGCCATCATCATCAGGAGCTGCAATTACAATGATAACAGTAGCAACAAAGGTGTAAAATGAATTTGAATTGACTCAACTTACAGTAGTATGTGAGGATGTTGCTAATTGTTGTTTACGTATAAGATATATATATATATATATATATATATATATATATCCTTGAATTATGTCCTCAAAAGTTGAATTGTATTGATCGTTGAATCCTTTGTCAAAAACTGGTAACTAAGCACCAAATTAAGGCCCTAATAGACCTTTGATCAAGAGGTCAAAAAGCATACGTTCTTGATTCTTGATCTCGAAGATAAATCCAGAGGTTACAGCTTACCTAATATTAACGTAAAATATGGCCTCTATGTTATCTTCCGTTTTGGGCATGTTGATAAGTAAACGTTGTCTTATTAATGACAAATAAAAAATCCTTGTAAGCTGCGATATAGATTGGTAAAAAACAAGTCAATATATCTACTAATAAATACAGACTACATACAACAATCTGAAAAATTATTTAATTTCCCAAAAATGGAAACTAGGACCTTGTTTTACCTTGATTTGAAATTTGATCTCTGAGTAATTATTAGGTCAGAAATAGGGTAAACTTAACAAAAAATTTAAAGATGTAATAGTAAAAATTGATTAGGAAAATTCCCTACAAGTTTAAACTCTGGAAACGGTCGTACTAGGTATATTCTTTTTTTAATATTTAATATTAAAATATGAACATTAACTTATTATTTACATATTATGTTACTATTTCCAAAGGTATCTAAGTCAGCCAAAATCACATTACTTCTCACATAATTATCAACTTCGTGCCTTAAAACAAATTTGATCTTATAATTCGAGTTTATGTTGTTGTCAGAGTGTCTCGTTAAGACTGTTAACAAAATTCGTTAGTTTAGCTTATTTCTGAACCCCTGAATTTTGGGTAACTACTGTAGCCTCATTTGGCGAAAAATTTGCTTGCGCATAGATTCTTCGTTCAGTTGTGACCGAAAATCTAATTTCGAAATCATTGTGTTATACTTACTACCACAAATGGAAGCCATTTCTTTGATACACTTGGCTATAGACAAGTGTAACACCAGCTAATCTTAGTTGTCATAGTATGTTTTTTATGTTAACTTTAAGTCAGACTCATGTTAATTTATAGGGCAACGTTACTACGATTTAACCACAATAAGACCTAAATAGTCGTGTATATTCTTAGACCTATTAGTAGAGGAAAGTGACCAAATATGGAATACCATTTTTGTTTTTGACTGTATTCAGACCATAGTTCAATTAATTTTCGTTTTCTCAATACTGTTGGGTGTAACGGAGCATAATGAAAAAGTCATATCAATTTTTGGCCAAAATACGTCATTTTCCCTGTTCAGAAACTGAAATATTGTTTAAGGTGCATTCTTGGCGACTTCAAAAATGTGTCCTTAATATGGAATACCTTGGAACCTAATATGGAATACACCAAATTCTCATCAAAAAAGACATAGAAATGCTATATTTTCAGAACTAAACATCAAAGAGAACTCTGTTACATAACGATAAACATAAAATACAAAAAAAAAGGAACTGAATATTATCTACATAACAAACATTAAACAAACTTAAAACATTTCAGAAATTTTACACTGGAACAGAAGCGATTTTACTTGCAAAAATCGCACACAAATTTGCTTCGGTATGCCCCAGAACACTGTTCGTGGAACCACTGAAGGCACAATATGCATTGTATCCAAATTTCGCTCCTTTGGTCTTCAGAAAATTTCCCATCACAATATCCGCATATGGCATCCTCGTCAGGATCTACTGTAGTTTCTTGAGTCAGTTCATCACCGGAGGAATCTTGATAATGCAGTGCTTCAGATTTTTCTGAAGAAGTAGAAGTTGATGACCTTCTCTTATTCCTCGCCTTCTGTTTGGAGGCCACTAAATGCAGCCCGCTTGTGCTTGGCTGAGTTAGGATACTTTCGGTTTCACGTTGAGGGCATGGTTGAACTTTCCTAGATTTTTTGGGGGCCCCAAGTTTGACTGCTTCAACTTTTTCCTTAGAAACGTTCAATGATGTCTCCAATTCTTTAAGGTAGGGAGAAGACGTGATAATTTTGGCCTGACCGGGTTTCCTTCCTCGTGTCCCTTTTTTTTGTTGCAATTTGGGAAGTGGTAAAATGTCATGTGGGGTCACGTGCGTTTCTACCGCTGGGGTATTTGGTCTACCGTACAGTTGCTCAATTACTGTGGGATTTGTTGCCGTGTTAGTCTCAAATTGTTCAGGTACTGCAGCGGTAGATTCGTCATCAGAGCCTTCTTGTGCAGCTTTCAGAAAATCAGATTCGTCGAAATTATTCCTGCGGACCGGATATAGCCCTGTCGTCTCGAATCCGTTAACAGCATTGGAACCACACTGTATCTTAAGGTAGGCCCTGCCGAAGATTTCTGTGATATCATACTGTGCGATGGGACGTTTATAGGTTCGCATGAATACACGAACCTCCTCATTGTAATGGGCCTTGAGTGCACCCATAACACTTTTTTCTAATGGCTGCAGTTTATGGGTGGTATGAGGAGGCAGACATATTATGGTTACCCCATTCTGTTTTGCTAAGCGCAAGAACTCTAAATTTCGAGTGTGTGTGTGTTATGCCCATCTAAAATTAGAAGAGCCGGTTCATCCCTTGATGGTTTCACTTTAGTAAGAAAGTGGTGAAACCATTGTGTGAACAAATGTGTTTGGATCCATCCGGATGGATGGCATGCGAATAGAGAGCCTGGAGGTGCTCCTTTTTGAAGCTGAACATTCATATTTTTTCTGGGATATATTATCATTGGTAGTATAAATGTACCAGCAGCATTCATGCACATGATAACCGTCACTAATGAACCACGTTCAGCGGATGTTAGCGCTCCCACTTGTCGCTTACCCTTTAAAGAAATTACTTCGCTGCACCTTGATTGTACCACCGTCAAACCCGTCTCGTCAACATTGAATACCCTATCTGCAGGATAATGGACTTTCTCCATTTCGGCTTCCAGAAGATCGAAAAATGCATTAACATTTGCTTTGTTGAATCCTGCTACTCTGGCGAATGATGTCCCGGTAGGTTTTCTGAGTGTTAAGTTTGAATGTCTTTTCAAAAATGCCTTTAACCATTTCCTCCCTGCTTGCCCGAGGTGTTCAGAAAATCTGTGCTCGATGCCATTCGCAACTGCAAGTTGGTATGCCATTCTGCGAACATCTGTTCTAGTCAAACCAAAGAAACGATTGTCCATATCAAGCAAATAATCTGCAAGTTCATTTTCTAACTCGATTGAGAGGACTGGTTTTCATCCTAACCGTGTGTCACACACCGTAACTGGCTCTCCGTGTTGTTTACATAACCGGAAAAGGGTGCTTCGTGGCACATTAAATTGTTTTGCTGCTTTTAAATACCCCATTCTACCATCCCTAACTGCTGCCACTGCTTCCTCCATGCTTCCTTTCTCCCACAATTTTCTTCCATTTTCTTTTTTTTCTTTCCTTGACTTAGGCATGTCTGAATACAAACGGAAACCATTATTTATGTTTAAACAAGTAGTGCACCTAATATGGAATATATTCCATAATTGGAGCTTGTTGTTATTCCATATTAGGAACGCCACGCATTTGGAGGTTAATCATGTTATGAACTGACAGGCTTTTATCAAGGGAAAAATTAGGCTAGCAATAGACTAAGCCGTCATCCTACATTGTATTATATTGCGCAGATTTCGAATTCGGCTCAAAACACACTCTAGATATCAAAAAATACTAACCTGCTGCAAAAACTTTAGTAGGCGGCGATTCACTGTACCTCAGTTTTTGACAGACTGCAGATACTTAACGACGGTTACAGGTTTCTTTAATGGGTTTTGAACCTTGGGACGCCACTTCGGGCATAAAAACGGCAGATGGCGCAAATAATTTAGAAATTAATTGCGTATTCCATAAAAGGAGACTATTCCATATTTGGTCACTTTCCTCTAATAAATGCCTCATTGAGTTTTAAATTACTTTGGTTTTATTCCCCACTTTTGGAAGAAGGCAAAGTTCGTTATTATTTACAGAAAAATGATCAATTACACATTGTTGCCGTATCGTGTCGTGTGTAGATTGGCAAGTAATGTTCCGTTCTATTACTCGTATGCACTTTTTTGGGACGAGCTTTTCGTCATTTTAACATTTGATGCGACAGACATTCACTCCACACAGAGCCACTTAAATGGAAGTAATGTTATTATGTAGATTATGCATCCCTATAACTGCGAACAAAATCTCAAACGTGAGAAATGTTTCTTGGGACTTTTGCTTCTTGAATTTCTGTGCGTCGAGCCCTGACATGTAATGATTGTCTCTTTAGCTGCTCCGGGGGCGTGGGGCGAAAGTAGGAAGAAAGTTGATTTGACCACCAAGTGGCCTTACTATTATTGTTTTGTATACTTTTTTCTCAGAGTATCCACAGAACCGAGAAACAAAAGGAAATACACTTGGTGGGAATAAGCTGCCCATGTACATTTTGCGTGTATTAAGTTTTGCGGTCATGGTTTATGGATAATATTACTGTAAAGAAAACAATATTATGTTGCCTAGCTTAGAAAAAATCTAGAAGTAGGTTGAATCTCAAATTTTCATGCATTAAGGGCCTATTTTTGCGCGGCATTTGTGTGGCTGGGCAGTGTCACTTGATAGTGTTCGACAGTGACAAAGTCGGAGAGTCAGTTTAAATTGAATTTGAAAAAAGGTTCTCCGTTATATATCTTTTTTTCATACTTTTCAATTGAATTTTATAACAAGTTTTTCTCTTTGTAGATCCCGGTGACGAACGTATTTTACAATATTTGGAAAACATTGCTAATAATATAGAAAATTACGATAGAAAACAAAATCAACCAAGTACTTCTCAATAAAATCCAAGAATTAATATTATCTCTGATGTTCTGTAATCTGGTTGTTGATTCTTGTCAATCGGATGACAAAACAGTGCATTCATCATCGAAAGAAAAAAATAGAAGTCACAAAAATTTACAAGGTGAGACAAATAAAGATTTTTCTGTAAACAAAACTTATCGGAAAAATTCTAAAGATAGAAATAAGAAACATAGTACATTTATTGGGCCCTATATAATCGCAAAACTACTTGAACATAACAAAGTGAAAGTCAAAAATAAAAAAGGAAAAATTGAATTCGTACACATTAAGGAGCTAAGAAAACCACAGTTATTCCAGGTAGAGAATGAGAGCTTGGAAAATCCTTCCTGCATGTGCATCAAGAATATTCAGCCAGTATTTTCATCCGAAATTACAAGTATGTGTCACATCTTTTGTATTTAGCTTTTACTCATTTGCCATTGTAATTGGTAAACGGTCTCAATGAATTTGTTATGTCAAAGTATTTCGAAAAGAAGGTTTTTAAAACCAACTTTCACGAAATTCCCGACGTAACTCGCGTTTACGTGCAGTTTTCTGGGCTGATAGTAAGTTTCTTCTTACGTTGCAATATGCAATTTAGCCTTGAAAAGTATGAGTTTTCTGTGCACAATATATGACAGAAGACCGCGTTTTTTGGTTGTGTAGACCATTACAACCATTAGGGGAAAAGTAGGTAATATGCCCCGGTTGTCAAAATGCCCCACTAGCGTTTCCCTGAAACCAGCAAACTTTTTCGGCACAATGCGGCATCCGCGCATCGTCAGTCTACCGGCAACATGGTTGATGTTCGTACACGCGTCTTGTAACTTGTTAAAAAAATATTGCAAAGGATAGTTTTTCAGTGGTCGGACAATTTGTGGTAGGTTCCAAACAAATTTATATACCATTAATACTATTTGTTTTATTCCAAACTTACATGCACCATGTTAAAGCATATAAAATTGGTTTCTTGCTCTAAGTGTGTCGAACAACATAACCTTAAATTGGATCTGAGTGGGGCGACACCATATTTTACAATATTGTATGGTTTGTAATTTGCCCCACCATTAAAATCGCAAATATACTAAGTGACATATAAATCCGAACACCCAGTTTAAATGGTTTTATTTTACTAAAATTTTGTATAAGTACTTAACCCTTAATTACTCGCATGGGGTCAAAGCAGTTTCGCATTCAAAAACGAAGGATTTCCCGCGGACCGAATTTCCCCGCGCCCCCGCTAGCTTGAGACCGCGCGTCGACGTTTGTATTTTAGTAGCGACGATGTCACAGGAGTCTAAGAACACGTCGTTGCGCTTTTGAGCAGTGACCCCGTGCGACTAATTACGTTACTTTTTTGAAAAAGGTAAGTTGCTTATTTTATGTATTTTTTTGTGTTTTATTGATCCGATTTGTATTATTGAATGTCCAGTTTATAAATTTATTTAATAAATATGTTTTGTGTAGTTTTATAAAATGAAAGTACCGAAAAAATACGTTTTACTATGAGTTTTGTATCTGTTTCCAGAATTCGTCATGGATAGAAGAGAACAAATTGAGAACTGGTTGGTTGAGGCTTCTGATGAAGAACAAGTTGGAGGGTCAAATTCTGAGTCGGAGTTAGACGAGATAACACAAAGCGATATAATAGTGCTAGTGAAATCGACGAATTGTCCGCACACTCCAGTGAGTCTTCAGACAACGAGGACGACGGCTGTGCAGGGCAGTATGATAAATTCTATTTTACCAGACATAATGGCAGAAACGGTCCTAAACAAAAATGGTCAAAGTCTCCACCAACAAGCTCCGCAAGAACACGAAGACATAATATAACTTTACACTTACCCGGTGTCAAGTCATCAGCGAAATCCGCAAAGACTGCTTTGGAATGTTTTAGTTTGTTTTTTTCTGATGACATTATCAATTTGCTGGTAAAATGTACAAATCAGTACATCGAAGTCGTCAGAGGCAAATTTCAAAGGGAACGTGACGCAAAAGATACAGACGTTGAAGAACTAAAAGCATTGCTGGCTTTGTTGATCATGTCTGGAGTGTTGAGAGTTTCACATCTCAATTTCATAGATCTCTGGGCCACCGACGGAACCGGTGTAGAGAGGTTTCGTTGGAACACTGAAGAAAAACAAACCCGATATACCCGAGGAGATTTTACCAGACAGAAGTCAATTCAGCTGTCTGTTCGGATTTCAAAAGACTCTAACCATGGTTTCAAATGTGCCAAAACCAAATCAAGCTGTTGTGTTGTTACCCTCCATGCACCATGGAGCTCACATCGGCCCAGGTTCAGGTGATCAGCACTAAAGGAGGAGTGGACACCAATGATCATTTGTGTGGTACATACAGCGCAGGAAGGCGAACCAAACGATGGCCGTTAGCTATTTTCTTCCATCTTATAAACGTTGCATGCATAAATGCTCTCGTTGTACATCGGGCAAATACCACTAAATCACGTACTCACATGACTCGTAATTTTTTGCGGCAATTGTCCGTTGAACTTGTCCATAATCACCAGAAACGTCGGCTTGATGTCCATTCAACTCCTAAAGTAATAAAGAAACGACTTATAGAAGTTCATGACTTGGACAACCGCGCCCCACCAACCACTGCAAAACGTGGGCGTTTCATCAACTGCCCGCGGAAAAGTGATCGAAAAGTATTGACTAAATGCAAAAAGTGCACAAAATTTGTGTGCAATGATCACTCAGACATATACTGTCAACAATGCAAGAAAAGTGATTCGGATAGTTCCTAACATAATCATAAAAATTTGCCTTGATCTCTTGATATAAGTACAAATTGTTAATTTTCAACTATTATTTTATATAAGCTCAATTTTTTTCATTAGATAGTAATTCATGTTATTTCTCTTAAATATCATAATATAAATAAAGCACTTTAATAATAAAATAGTTTGATTTCATTTTATATTTAATATATATTAAAAAAATATCCTACAACTTGGGGTCACCTGTGACCCCATGCGAGCAGTTATGTAATGTTCTTCATGCGAGTAATTAAGGGTTAAGGAAGCATAATAAGTAAATGATAAAACTTTCAAAATGATTGCACTGCTTTAAAGCCCTTTGACCTTTAATAATGTGTGGATGCACCCTGATGTGATACGCATTCTCCAACGCGCCTAGGCATGCTTCTGATCAGGTGGTCAATGTCCTCCTGTGGTATCTCATTCCAGGCAACCACCAACTCCTCTCGAAGTGCTGCTAGAGTCTGAGGAGGACGTTGCAAATTGAGCTTTAAAGCCTTTTGACCTTTAATAATGTGTGGATGCACCCTGATGTGCTACGCATTCTCCAACGCGACTAGGCATGCTTCTGATCAGGTGGTCAATGTCCTCCTGTGATATCTCATTCCAGGCAACCACCGATCCTCTCGAAGTGCTTCTAGAGTCTGAGGAGGACGTTGCAAATTGAGCAACCTCCTACCCATCATATCCCACACGTGCTCAATTGGGGATAAGTCGGGAGATCTTGGTGGCCATGGTAACAATGTGACATCATGTTGAAAGAAGTCTATTGTGACTCTTGCAACATGTGGTCGGGCATTATCTTGCTGGAAAGTTGGATCTGCCAGGGAGTCAAGATAGGGTAAAAGATGGGGTTCTAGAACTTCGTGGATATAACGCTGCGCGTTCATGTTACCTCTGATGAAAATTAAAGGTGACCTGGAACCATAAGCTATAGCACCCCAAACCATAACTCCAACAGTGTGATGAACATGTCTTTCAACAAAAAAGTGGATTCCTCCTTTCACCACGTCGCCTTCTAACCCTGGCACGACCATCGTGCATGCCTAAACAAAATCAAGACTCGTCACTAAAGACAATACTGTTCCATTCCTGATCCCAGAGTGACCGTTGTCTGCACCACTCAAGGCGATTACGTCGGTGTTCTCGAGTTAAAGGGAGGACCCAGTGTGGCCGGTATGAAAACAAGCCAAAACTTCTCATTCGTCGGTAAACACTTCGCATGCCAATAGGTCTTCCGTGTTCTGCAAACCATTCATTTGCAATGGACCTGGTAGTGGAGAAACGGTCCCTTAAGGCCAATAATCTTAGGCGGCGATCTTCACGGTCTGTTGTTCTACGGCGGCGTCCAGTGCCCCTTGCTCTTTGCGTACGGCCTTTTCGAAGCCATGCCTGACAACACCTAACTACAGTGTCTACACTTCTTTGCACTCCAACTGCAATTGCCCGAAAAGAAAATCCAGCTTCCCGAAGTCCCACTATACGGCCCCTATCAAGCTCACTAAGTTGACGAAATCGTACAGGTCTCCGTACTCTAGGCATCGTAACCGATCGTAAAGGATGTCAAGAACCAAAATCCGCCAACGTTGATTCTTTACTGCGGCTGAAATATTCATTTTTAGGGCATTAGTGAATTAAAAAAAAGCAGTATAAAAACCGGAATGTCCAACTGATAAGGCTGAAAATTTTTTCACTTGTTGTTTACAGTAAGATAAATACATTCACCAACTTTTATTAAAATAAAACCATTTAAACTGGGTGTTCGGATTTATATGTCACTTAGTATATTATTCATGGTTCCTATGTTTTCCAGAATATGTCACGGAAATACGAACAGAAGTCACTACGAGCGTCATCGGCGGCTGAAGATTTGGAAGAGGCGATGCAGCAAGTACGCGGAGAAATTATGGTCGCTAATGAGGCCTCCAGACCTTTTGGAATACCATCCAGAACTTCTGGAAGGACCTTTTAACGGGAAAACCAAAGGTCCCCTTTGGCCGCAACCCTGTATTTTCAGTTGAATATGAAAGAAAAATTGTAGCACGTATACAAACATTGGAAAAAGTTGGCTTTGCACCAGACAGAAATAATGTGAGGGAAATGGCTTTCGAGTTAGCAAAAAAACTTAACATCAAACATACATTTTCTGGAGGGTCGGGATTAGCTGATAGGGTGTGGTTTACTGGACTTATGAAAAGAAATCCAGAACTAACTCAAAGAAAAGCAGAAGGCTTATCACCTGCTCGAGCATACGGAGTGAACAGAAAAGACATTAAACATTTTTATGACCTGTTGGCCAAGATTTATGAAGAAAATGACTTTGCATCCCATCCTGAAGATATATATATATATATATATATATAACATGGATGGAAAAGTAGTGGCAACAAAAGGGGTCAAAGATGTATATACTCTTACAAGTTGTGAAAATGGTGAAAATGTTACAGTTATAGCCTGTTGCAATGCTGGAGGTAATTTCATGCCTACTACATTAATATATAAGGGAAATCATCCTATACTAACTCGGACTTGTTCATTCAGTGGTTAGAAGAAGTATTTTTACGCCACAAAGGTCCTCGAAAGACTTTATTAATATTAGATGGTCACAGTTCGCATAGTAACAATATTCGGGTACCAGAAGTAGCCAAAGAAAATTATGTAATACTCTTATGTCTACCAAGTCACACAACGCATGTCCTTCAGCCTCTTGACAAGGTCTTTTTTTAGGCCACTCAAAATGTTTTTTGCACAAGGAGCTAAATCTTGGATGGTACAAAATAGAGAAAAGAAGTTGACGCGCTGTGATGTCTCAAAACTGCTTGGCAAGGCTTGGGGTAAGGCCGCCACTCTATCCAATGGTGTTTCAGCGTTGAAGTGCTGCGGTATCTGTCCATATGATCCCCATGCTGTTGCAAACTACCATTTCTCACTATCAGATTCGCTACAAGAGCAAAATTTAGTTGACATTGACGAAGTCAACAATCAAAGTACAAGAGGTACTGATGAAAATGTTACCGAAAATATTGCACCAGCAACTGAGGTCCTCTCTCAGCCAGGAACGTCAGGTCTCTACAGCACTCTAGTCTCCCTATATGATGACTAATCTGTGAATACGCCGCAAAAGCACCCACGAAGTGATATATCTCAGCAAGTAGGCATTTGTGATAAAACGTCTGAAGCAGCCATTCTATCATCTGATATAGGAGACAAAGAAACGCCTTCCAAAGTTCTGAGTGAAATACATCCAGTGCCCAAACCACCAAAAAATCTGTCCAAAAGACAACAAACAGCGATTATTCTCACTTCACCGAAAAATTTTGAGAAAAGAAAATTGCTGGCAAATAAAAGAAACATTAAAGTTGAAGCTGAGAGTAAGAAACTCAAGCAGGCTAAAACAAAAGCGACTGATATGAAAAAAAGGGATAATCCCAGTAGAGTAAAAGGTAAAACGATATTAAAGAAGAAGCCAAAGAAGAATGCGTTTGCAAATGCAAACAAAAAAGTGTGGGATTCGTCGTCCTCAGAGAGCAATGATGGAGAAGTTTGAGAAGTCAAAAGAAGAGCTATCAGATGAGCACGAGAACAGATGATATTCATTAAAGTTATCCGACTGTTCCTTTTTGTTAATTATTGCTTATATCTTTACATTAATATATTGAAGGTAGTGGGGCATTTTGCAACTCGTGGGAGGCGTATTACCTGAGGGTCAGTTGACAAAACTCAATGTTCTGGAAAATATGTAATCAATATTTGTTAAACGATTTAGATTGATGTAACCAGTGTATTTACGTTGTAAAAGAGCCAAACTTTGCCTCTGATTAAGATCTTGATGATATCTTCAAATGCTTTTTTCAATATTAACTGAAGTAAAGTAAAGTATTACCTAGTCTTCCCCTACGTGCGGCCGCTGATTCGGTTTCAACCCAGTCGCCCGTTTATATGGAATTGCGATCTATACTCACAGGACAAAGCCGCATCGATCTTGGCACAAGACTTACCGCCGATACTAATTTCCGAATATTTCCCACTTGCGTAAATCGATAAGTGACACTGTTACAGGACGCAGGATTGGTCAGACCGCGAAGTCTGTTACGATTCCATATTGAATCCGTGTCTCTCTTCGTCAAACCTAGTAGCGAACGAGCTACATGATCAATTCCAGCTTCAACATTAATATACGTATACAGGACTTTGAAGTTGAGTCATTAATTTTCAGATAATGATTGTAGAAGGAGGATAAACCAAAATATGTGTGTAAAAATAAAAAAAAAATTAAAAAAAACATTTTACCTTGTTTTATAAAGTATCCTCCCGACAAGTATTTCAGTGCGGACCTGTATTTGATCGTGCGGTCTTGGAGCACCGGCATGCCCTCCCCTGTCTGGTCTTAAGTCACCTGATTCACGAGCCCTTTGTACTACATTAATAAAGGCACGAGGGGTTGGTTGCACTCGATTGGGAAACCGATCCGCATAAATCCGTGATGCCGCGTAAAAAGAATCATGTCCACAGGTTCACCATTTTCGTAAACATGTGCCATTTTTGATTTCGTTTGAGCCACGCAACAGACACCACTATTCACTCACGCGTTACCGACTGACACTGACTGTATACAACTGAATAAAATAATTGTAAAAACATCGTTCCAAATTCTTTCGCTTTTTTGTTTCCGATGCGATGAACCGATAAGGCGGATTATATCCGTTGTTGCCAAACACGAGCACATAATATTATTATTGAGACAGGGCGGTACTCAAACTTCCAATGGGCTATAACTTTGTTACTTTAATTTTACCAGAAAAAATGGTAAAGGAAAAAAACACTTATTTTGATCAGAGCTACTCACTGTTAAAATAAATGACTCAACTTCGAAGTCACCCTGTATAGGATGCCTATTAAATATCCCCGAATACTGAAATTCACGTATTTTTATAAGGTTCTTAAAAAAGTTGTCAAAAAACAATTCGTTGATGTCCTCAAGTGTGACCTCCATAATGAATCCAGGGGTTATTGTGAGGTCCACTTAGTCGAGTCAAAGAGCAATCATCATTTTTGACAACATATTTATATTAGGCAACATTTTCGAACACAAAGTCCAGTGGTCATTAGTTGTCGAAGCAGTACCTATTATCTGAAAAGCTCGCTAAACTTAAAAAAAATGTTATCCACGCATTTTTTGAAAGAAGATTCAAACAAATATTTCGGGATATCAACGAATTAATCTCAGATATGAGTTAATCAATGACTCAAAGTTTTTTCATTTTAAAAATTAACTAACTAAACTAAGTGATCATGTCCTATCGATAATTAACTTGATGGTGGCAGCACATGTTAGAAAGGACTTTATATACTAAATGGCATAGAAAATGCAACACCGACTAGGAGTGCTGTAATTTTGAGCACACTTTTACAAGTTTTACGTCTACTGATAAATAGAAACTGATTGAAATTGTAACTCGAAATTTCGCAAAATAGCTGAGATATCCCACCTTAATGCAAATAATGTGTTGAAGCTCCTTTGTTCGCTACACATTCGTTAAGTCGTCGCGGCATTGATTGGATTTCCCGTCATCTCCGATACATGTTCGATGGGGGCAAAGTCTGGAGAGAGGAGGCAACTGAAGCAGATTTACTCCGAACGTTTCTAAAAAGTCTAAACTTGCAATGTTTCAAAAAAGGGAAGCACATGTGGTTGTAAAACTTCCTGGATATAGCGCTGGACAGTCATGCTACCTCGAATGAACACTAATCGTGACCTGCTGCCGTAAGCAATGGCACCCCATACCATATCACCCACAGTGCCATGAATATGCGGTACGATGGAATATTACTGTTGCACGGCCATCATGTGTGCTCAAAGAGCATCTGGACTCATCGCTGAACACGACTGAGTACCATTCCACATTCCATTCATGTCTCTCCCTACTCCATACCAATTCTTGCTGATAATGCTGTAGGGTCAGAGTAGTACAAGATGGGGACGATTTGAAAACAGCTCAAAAAACCTTATTCGGCGATAAACTGTCCTCATTGTTATCGCTCTTCCGATAGCATTAAACCGCTGGTTCGCAACTGCCCTTGTTGTGGAAAATGGATCTCTTAGTGATAGTTGCCTCAAGTAACGATCATGTCGCTTTGTAGTATGTCTTTGACGTCCAGTACCTCTAACTCGTCGATTTCGGCCTTGTTGGAACCACGCTCGATAACATCTCATTACAGTAGCTTCGTTCCGTTTCACCCGAAGATGTTCATATGACATGACAAAAAAGCATTTACAAAAAAAGAGCGTCTCGGAATGCCTTCAACATTTTATCAGCGTATACTTCTATGATAGCAAATATGTTTAAAAGTTTTTACCAAAGTTCAATAAATAATTCTGGGTGTTGCTTTTTATATGACATTTAGTTTTATTTCCCCAGAGGCTAGTGCTTTATTAAAAAACTCCGCTAACATTAACACATACAAATTTTACGTTAGTCTGCTTGACTAGGTCCCTTATATATCGTTCAAGCTTTTACTAATAAATTCTAAACAATGGCATCACGTGGGTTGACACTGCGTTTCCCACGCAACGCTGTAAAGAGCTCTTAACCCATTTATGCAAAAAAGTTTTTTTTATTATTTTTTAAAAAACCGTATTAAAAGACGACACTTTGGAGGTATTTTCAATTTATTCTAAAAAAATACATAAACAGTTAGTTTTTTAGGATGTACTATACATAGCACATTAGGAATAAAGGTAGCTATATGAATAATAATAAAAGAAATATTGAAAATAGTACAAATATTTTGAAACACATCAATATTGCAAATTTTAAAGAGTATGATATTGAACAAAACATTTCACGTGAAGGCCGACATCACATTTTCTACATCTAGTAGTCGTGCACTCATGACAGTGTGCACACCTTGTTTGTTTGCCTTGTGGAATGACTAAATGATCTAAGCGATCATACCTTATGTCACCAAAATTTCTCGATTTACCTTGCTGGTACGTAGGATAAGTCTTCTTATTTTGTGTCAAGATAGTTGTAGCTACACTTCTTCTAAATTGGAATTGATCCACGTTATTTCCTCTCTTTTTATAAATATGCCAGGCGTTTGTCATAGCCATATCTACACATTGAGAGATCAACGAGAAATACCATTTTTTGCCTCGAATTTGTACTCTGTATTGAGCTATATTCTGGTCTGACCTATCCACCCCGCCCATACATTTATTATACAGCTTGACAACTTGGGGCTGTCTACATACACACATTTTTTTTCTTTTTGAGAATACCGCTTTACTGAATTTACTGGTTCAATTCCAAACGCTGTAGACCCAAAAGTTACAATATTGTTGTCATTCCATTTTACAAAAATTAAGTTTTTATCTTTTACTTTGGTATAATCAAACACACGTTGTTCCTTTTTCATAAGTTTTGAATTTTTCAAAGAAGACATGGGTATACGATTTTCACGAATTGTTCCTCTACCACATATACCTTTTTCAGTCAAGCTTTCAAACAAAGCTGGCGAAGAAAAAAAATTATCAAATACAAAATGAAACCTAAGATTTGCTCATTTGCTTTTTAGCCTATCAGCATAGCTCAATACAACTGATGCGCCAACACATAAAGATTTGTAAGCCGCGTTCACATACGTCGAGCACCCTGATAAGGTTCAAACCATGAGATGTAACCAAGAGTAGTAGCGCGAACCCAAAATTTGAACCCATAACGTATTGGTTTCCCGTGGATATACTGTTCACAACCATGTCGCCCGTTGTATGGAACCATTGCCTCACCAATACTATGATGCTCTTCTGGTACTGCGTATTCCAAATTTTTTTTATTTAGGTGATTGAAAAGACGCCTTAGTTTAGCAAATTTATCATTTGCTCCCAGAGCTTCATTGTTTAGGAAGTGAATGTGAGACATTATAAATTCAAATTTATCTCGAGAAATAGCTTCAGAAACAAGTGAGTTGTGTGAATCACTGGATTTTTCCCAATACATCCTTCTGCGAGATACACTACTGTAGCCACTCAACAATAATATGCCTAGAAAACATTTGATTTTAGATTTGGTAACAATAATATTCATGTTTTTCTGTTGAGCATTCCGATTTGTCTCCTCAACTATTATGTTCAAAATTTCTTCATCAAAAAAACTAAAAAATATCTCGGTTGGGGACTGCTCTTGTTCATTTTGATTTTCGTTGTTTATTGGAAACGCATACTCATTTCTTGGCAAATCTTCTTTTACGTAATTATATGTTTTCTTCTTTTTCACTTCCTTCCGATTATTACCCCCGATTTCACTGAGTGGTATTTTATCTTCTGAACTCCACATATCCTCGTTTTGATTCTCATTTACTTCGACCTCAGCTTGCATTAAGCTTCCTGGCAAGTTGTTGATACCCAGAATCCTCGTCGGTTATGTTACCGCATGCATTAGTG